ATATCAGCTCCGGGGAGCCGACGGGGCTCCCCCCAGAAATCAGCATGAAAATTACCTCTGCTGAAGACATTGAAAAACTACAAGCAGATGTCAACAAAGTTTTCGATTGGGCAGCAGGAAATAACATGATGTTTAACAGTGATAAATTTCAGGTACTCAGGTACGGCAAAAATGAGGATCCAAAACATAATACAGGGTACAAAAACCAATTGAATCTTCCCATAGTAGAAAAACAGCATGTCAAGGATTTGGTAATAATGATGTTTGACGATCTAATGTTTAGGGAGCATAACCAAGCAAATATCGCGTCAGCCAGAAAAATGATCGGATGGATTACGAGAACTTTCAAATCCAGGGATCCCATCACAATGGTTGTACTCTTCAAGTCACTTGTGTTGTCCCGTCTCAAGTACTGCTCAGTACTCACTTCCCCCTTCAGAGGAGGAGAGATTGCTGAAATAGAGGGAATACAGAGAACATATACGGCACGCATAGACGAGATAAAACACCTAAATTATTGGGATCTACTCTCTAGAAAGGAGATGAGAGAGATACCAAATAATATACACATGGAAAATACTGGAGGGCCAGGTCCCAAATCTACACAGTAAAATAACAACGTCCTGGAGTGAACGATACTGAAGAAAATGCAAGATTGAACCAGTGAAGAGCAGAGGTGCCATAGGCACAATCAGAGAGCACTGTATAAACATCAGAGGTCCACGGTTGTTCAACGTCCTCCCAGCGACTATAAGAAATATTGCCGGAACAACCGTGGACATCTTCAAGAGAAAACTGGACTGTTTTCTAAGAGAAGTTCCGGATCAGCCAGGCTGTGGTGGGCATGTGGGTCTGCGGGTCGCTCCAAGCAACAGCCTGGTGGACCAAACTCTCACAAGTCGAGCCTGGCCTCGGGCCGGGCTTGGGGCGTAGAAGAACTCCCAGAACCCCATCAAGCAGGTATCAAGCAGGGAGGGATGGAAGGAAGGAAGGAAGGAGGGATGGGAGGGAGGGATGGAGGGAGGGATGGAAGGAAGAAGGGATGGAAGGAAGAAGGGATGGAAGGAAAAAGGGATGGAAGGAAGAAGGGATGGAAGGAAGAAGGGAGGGAGGGAGGGATGGAAGGAGGGTCGAAAGGGATGAAGGGAAGGAGGGAGGAAGGGGAGGATGGAGGGAGGGATGGAGGGAGGGATGGAGGGGAGGGAGGGATGGAGGGAGGGAGGGAGGGAGGGAGGGATGGAGGGAGGGAGGGAGTGATGGAGGGAGGGAGGGAGGGAGGGAGGGAGGGAGGGAGGGAGGGAGGGAGGGAGGGATGGAGGGAGGGAGGGAGGGATGGAGGGAGGGAGGGAGGGAGGAGGAGGGAGGGAGGGAGGGAGGGAGGGAGGGAGAGAGGGAGGGAGGGAGGGAGGGAGGGAGGGAGGGAGAGGGAGGGAGGGATGGGGAGGGAGGGAGGGAGGGAAGAGGGAGGGAGGAGAGGGAGGGGAGGGAGGGAGGGAGGAGGGAGAGGGAGAGGAGGGAGGGGGAGGAGGGAGGGGAGGAGGGAGAGGGGGGGGGAGAGGAGGGAGGGGAGGGAGGGAGAGGAGGGAGGGAGAGGAGGGAGGGAGAGGAGGGAGGGGGGAGGAGGGAGGGAGAGGAGGGGGAGGGAGGGAGGAGGGAGGGAGGGAGAGGAGGGAGGGAGGAGAGGAGGGAGGGAGAGGAGGGAGGGAGGGAGAGGAGGGAGGGGGAGGGAGGGAGGGAGGGAGGGAGGAGGGAGAGGAGGGAGGAGAGAGGAGGGAGGGAGAGGAGGGAGGGAGGGAGAGGAGGGAGGGGAGGGAGAGGAGGGAGGGAGAGAAGAGGGAGGGAGAGGAGGGAGGGAGAGAGGGAGGGAGAGGAGGGAGGGAGGGGAGGAGGAGGGAGGGAGAGGGAGGGAGGGAGGAGGAGGGAGAGGAGGGAGGGAGAGGAGGGAGGGAGAGGAGGGAGGGAGGGAGGGAGGGAGGGAGGGGGAGGGAGGGGGGAGGAGGGAGGGAGAGGAGGGAGGGAGAGGAGGGAGGGAGAGGGAGGGAGGGAGAGGAGGGAGGGAGAAGAGGGAGGGAGAAGAGGGAGGGAGAAGAGGGAGGGAGAAGAGGGAGGGAGAGAGGGAGGGAGAAGAGGGAGGGAGAGAGGAGGGAGGGAGAGAGGGAGGGAGAGGAGGGAGGGGAGGAGGGAGAGGAGGGAGAGAGAGAGGAGGGAGGGAGAGGAGGGAGGGAGGGAGGGAGAGGAGAGAGGGAGGGAGAGGGAGGGAGAGGGAGGGAGGGAGAGGAGGGAGGAGAGAGGGAGGGAGAGGAGGGAGGGAGAAGAGGGAGGGAGAAGAGGGAGGGAGAGAGGGAGGGAGAAGAGGGAGGGAGGGAGGGAGGGAGAAGAGGGAGGGAGAAGAGGGAGGGAGAAGAGGGAGGGAGAGGAGGGAGGGAAGAGGGAGGGAGAAGAGGGAGGGAGGAGGGAGGGAGAGGAGGGAGGGAGAGGAGGGAGGGAGAGGAGGGAGGGAGAGGAGGGAGGGAGGGAGGGAGGGAGAGAGGGAGGGAGAAGAGGGAGGGAGAAGAGGGAGGGAGAAGAGAGGGAGGGAGAAGAGGGAGGGAGAAGAGGGAGGGAGAAGAGGGAGGGAGAAGAGGGAGGGAGAAGAGGGAGGGAGAAGAGGGAGGAGAAGAGGGAGGGAGAAGAGGGAGGGAGAAGAGGGAGGAGAGGGAGGGAGGGAGGGAGAGAGGGAGGGAGGGAGGGAGGGAGGGAGGGAGGGGGGGAAGAGGGAGGGAGGGAGAGGAGGGGGGGAGAAGAGGGAGGGAGAAGAGGGAGAGGAGGGAGGGAGAAGAGGGAGGGAGGGAGGGAGGGGGGGGGGGAAGAGGGAGGGAGAAGAGGGAGGGAGAAGGAGAGGGAGAGAAGAGGGAGGGGAAGAGGGGAAGAGGGAGAGGAGGGAGAGGAGGGAGGGAGGGAAGGGAGGGAGGGAAGGGAGGAGGGAGGGAGGGAGGGAGGGAGGGAGGGAGGGAAGGGAGGGAGGGAGGGGAGGGAGGGAGGGAAGGGAGGTAGGGAGGGAAGGGAGGGAAGGGAGGGAGGGAGGGAGGGAGGGAGGGAGGGAGGGAGGGAGGGAAGGGAGGGAAGGGAGGGAGGGAGGGAGGGAGGGAGGGAGGGAGGGAGGGAGGGAGGGTAGGGGGAGGGTAGGGAGGGAGGGAGGTAGGGGAGGGAGGTAGGGAAGGGAGGTAGGGAGGGAAGGGAGGTAGGAAGGGATGGATGGAGCAATGGATGTTGAGGTGAAGCAGAGACAGCGTGTGTATGGGAAGTATGGAGGGGGGCGGTGGTGGGAAGGGACCGGCTCACTGATAGGCTTAACACACTTGACCCAGTTAACCAGATGTTTCTTAATTAAATTCTAGATATACATCATATATATTTTTGCTTACAGATTTTGTTTAGTAATATTATTAGGATAATAAAGTTATAAAATACTTGTTTCACGATTGCTTTATTGTATTAGATGGAGATTCTCCAGGCTGTCTCTGGCTGGCTGGCAGTCTACTGAGCCATTTACCAGAAGGGTCTTGGGGGGGGGGGGAGGGGGAACCAGGAAGTGAGGGGTGTGGAGGAGAGCAGGAGTGGGGGAGTGGGGGAGAGGTTCAGTGAGGGTGAGGGAGGGGACAATAGAGGTAGGCGGCCTGCTTGCCATGTGAGGACCCCCTGATGCCAAAACAAACCCAATACCGACCTTTGGTAATATCGACCGCCAGACTGTTATATGAGGCTCTAAATATTGGTCTCCCAAACCAGTCGTTATTACCGGCAGATCAGTATAAATGAGGCCGTTAAATTGAGTGGATACTAATGTATTGCACGGTTCCGGTTTTGTTACTGAAATCATCTACATATGTATTGGGCGATTTAAGGGTTAAAATTCATAACTAGCCCTCCACGGCAAAAAGAAAAAACAACATAATCAAACAACAACTATGCCACCTCCGACCCTCCCTGACCGCCACCCCACCACCTTGTTAGCGATCCCTATGGTACACAAAGAGTGACACGCGCCACTCTCCGAGTGAAAGGACACACTACATGTCTACACCGATAAAGGTAGACACCCACATACAAATACCCACATGACATTCCAAGACCCACCACACCCACACCCACATTTAAGAGACTCCTCACACCCAATCCTGACACCCACCACACCCACATTCAGAGACTTCCCACACACACCCACTCCTGATACCCACACCCATATTCCCTCCAGACACACTCACATCCACTCCAGGCATCTTCAAACACACACCCACTCCAGCCTCCCTGCTTGCCCTAAGACTCCCTCTTTCCCTCCTTGCCTGCCTCCCTCCCTCACCAGTTTGCCGAGAAATTTAAATAATGTCACACGTGAAACTAATCTAAATAATTGTGAAGGGCTGCATGAGTTATGGCAAGTGGTGTACAACGAGTCAGGCCGGGCTTTTCATTTTTTTTTCTCTCAGTGGTAAAGGTTCACATTTTATATTCGTCAGCAAGTCCACCCCTGGTCTTGGAAAGAATTTTAGGTTTAATAAGAGGGTTATCTACAGATGCGATCCATAAAATCTCGATTAGGGAGCACAGCTAAATTTAGCAATTTTGAATAGGGCAAGAATGTGAAAGTGGTCACACATACAGATTCAGGCACGAGAGAGCAGGGTATTTAGATTATTAAAAATACATAAAAACCAGGATGTCATGGAGGATTGGTTATCCTCAGATGATTTCGGGGCTTAATGTCCCCGCGGCCCAGTCCTCGACCAGGCCTCCTTTTTGTTACACATCCCCAGGAAGCAGCCTGTAGCAGCTGTCTGACTCCTAGGTACCAATTTACTGCTAGGTGAATCAGGGTGAAAGAAATTCTACCCATTTGTTTCCACCTCCAAAAGGGATCAAACCCAAAACCTTAGAGCTACGAATTCCGAGCACTGCCTACTCAGCTGTCAGACCCCCTGTGATGGGGGTGACAGTGGTTACACAGATAATAGATTTCTTACCCATGGTGACTGAAGAGGAGGAATCAGTTTGCTGCCGCTGGCCAGATGATGGAGTTACAGGGTTTGTGGCTTCTAGGTAGCTTACAATGTCATCAATTGTCTCAGCTTGAGGTAGATGTTTAGAGGGGCTGGGATAGGAGTCAATAGCAGGAGTGACTGTTTGTGTTGGAGGATTAGGTAAAACAGGCGAGGATTTTACCTTTGTGTGTAGACAGAACTCCGAGGTACCTATAATAAAAAAATGACATGCATGAAAATGACAAAATAACAATTGGCACTAATTCAAACTCTCACAATATAAATATATTTTATGGAAGTATAATTTAATTAATGTAAAAATATTTTATGTATTTCTTAGACATAAGGCATCGATTAACCCTGGGTTCAGCTGACAGCTGCCTCCCTCACTGGTTCAAGGCCATATGCATTAATATTTCACCCACCAACAATACTGTTTGTTGTGTTATTACACTATATATACACACACACATTATATATAAGTATCTACATGTTTTATTCACCATAACTGTATGACTAAACTGGTATGGTGTCCAAAAAACATAGTGGCCACCCTCTAAACAGCATGACAAGTCATGCAGATGATACCACCTCCATCACCCAAATGGCTCTTCCCAACATACTTCTTTTGCTGTTATTACACTAATACACACATTATATAATAAGTACCTATATTTGTGTTCACCATAGAGAACCACTGAGCTGGTATGGTGAGTGCAGACAATAACAGGTGGCCACACAGAGCCAGAAGACGATGCTTCCTCCCTCCCTCAGCATTACTCATCCCACCATACTAGGCACAGAACTAATTATCACAACAATCCTGCTATTATCAGAATCCTGGTCATTTTTATCACAGCCAGGGGTCTTCTGTAATGCTATCATCGCTAAATAATAGCATGTACATATATATTTGGACATTTTTAGGCGATGCTGTGGTCACAAGCTGAACAGCAGTGCTGTTAGCTCAGGCTGTGTGCGCCAGCCTTGGTTGCTCACTCAGTACTGTAACCCCGCGATTATCCGGGATTCGAAAATCCGGAAAACGCCCTTATACAGCCAAAATCATGACCGGATAAAGTTCTCAATATCCGGCTAAAATGGCCACAGGAGCTGGATAAAAGCTGGTTAAGCCAGATAAAACATCGGAGCCGGTTAATTTGCTGCCGATGTTACACTATCCGGACAGTCAGCCGGATAATCATGGAATTGTCTGTATAAGAAAACCATGAGGCGGGCCGTACCGTATTAATCCCATCTGCCTATGGCCGAGGCGCATGGTGTAGGAGGGGGTGGGGTAGGTGGATGGTGTCGGGAGAGAGGGGAGCGTTGGGAGGGATTACCTGGGGGAATAAGGGGGGGATGGGGGGCGGCCTATACACTACAGTACAGGAATTACTATCGATTTTAGAATAATTCATCATAGCCAAAATCAAAAGAAATACTAGTAATTATGTAATAAAAAATACCATACAAATTTCCTAAAAACAATTTGCACAGGCTGAAGTTTCCTTCAAAAATATATATATTTTTTTTTCCTGCTAGCAGCCTACATAACGTGCCTCCTCCCTGCCCCGACTGGACCCGTCCAGGCCTGGTCAAGCCATGTGCTCTCTACCCTCGTGTTACACCACAGTGCCGCGAAATTAGTGAAATATTTTTTTAAATAACTTTTTTATTTTCATAGTAACTTTGAACATTTTTGGCCAAGACTATGTCTGGTAGCAGCATGAATCATTCTGGAGGTGTTAAGAGGAAGAAGGTTGTCCTAACAATTAAGGATAAACTACGTGTTAAACAACTTTGTGAAAATCGCCGGTCGACCTCATATGTTGCCAAGGAATTTAATATAGGCACTAGTACTGTTTCTGATATAAGGAAACAAAAAGAGAAACTTATGAAATCATTTCAACCTGCAAAAGTGAAGGTGCAAGCACTAGCTGAGGGTGTGGTAGAAAGACTATGAAAACTTTGATGCATGTACAGTTGGATGAGGCTGTGTACAAGTGGTTTGCTCAGCACCGCACAGCTGGCATGATAATTCGCGGCCCAGAAATACAAAATGCAGCACGCAAGTTTGCTGCAAGCCTCAGAATAAAGGATTTCGAAACGAGTGAAGGGTGGGTTGCAAGATTCAAGGGTAGGCACAATATTGTGAAGAGGAAAATTGTCGGTAAATAATTGAGTGCAGATGAAAGCAGTGTAGAACCATTTAAACAGAAATTAAGAGCATACATTGTGGCAAATAATTTATATTCGTATCAAATTTATAATGCAGATGAAACTGGGTTGTATTGGAGGAGTTTACCAGAAAAAACTCTAGCAATGAGGATTGAGAGTTGTGTGCCAGGACGTAAGGTCAACAAGGACAGGCTCTCAGCCATGATGTGTGCGAATGCCGACGGTACAGACAGAATCACGTGTGCAATTGTTGGCAAATCTAAGAAACTAAGAGCCTTGCAACATTGCATGGACAGACTGCCAGTCAAATATTATAGCTCACAAAATGCATGGTTTACACAAGAGATCTTTCTTTCTTGGTTTCATGACGTGTTCTGCAGGGAAGTTCGTGCCTATCAAGTTAAGAAACTCAAAATAAGGCCAAGCAAAGTTCGGGCATTGCTGCTGCTTGATAATGCGCCTGCCCATCCCAAAATTGACACGTTAACTTCGCAAGATGGCAAGATAACGTGTATGGCACTTCCTCCTAACACAACCTCTCTCATTCAGCCTATGGATCAGGGAGTTATCTGTGCCACGAAGAGGTTGTACACCAAAAAGATGCTAAACGAAGTTTTGGTGGTTTTGCCTCTTCCGGAAGATTTTGAACTCGGTGTGGATAACAGGGCTAAAAAAAACTTCCGAATTTGAAGAACTATACAATTAAGGAAGCCATCTATAACTGGGCCAAAGTGTGGAGTGAATTAAAGGAATCGACTTTGAAAAATTCCTGGAAAAAACTCCTCACGTCTACGGTCAGAAATGAGGAGGATGCAGAAATGGATTTTGAAGGATTAATAGATGAAATCCATGGAATGTTTAGAGATGCCGGCGAAAACTTAGAAAGACAGGATGTGGTTGATTGGCTTGAAAAAGATGCCAATAACCCAGGATATGGTGTGATGAGTGAAGACAAGATTCTCCAGTCTGTTACTGGTGAGGTCGATGTAGAGATGGAGGATGAAGAAGGAAGTGAAGAACTAACACCAATGACCACGAAGTGAATTCCAGTGAAGGGCCAGTGAACTCTTGTCTTCTGTTGACTTGTTAATTAATTTTTCATCCAATTGTGCTCATTCAGAAGTTGGAAACATGTATCAATACCTGAGGCGAACAAAAGAGCTGATCATACAACTGGCCAGTGAACACATTAACACTTTCGCGCTCTCGGCGCTCAAAAAAAATCAATACCCCAGATGCTTTCGGCACTTCGCGCGCCTACGCGGTAAGACCGAAAAAGTGTACACTCTTTTGACTGTCCTGACAATAATTGAAGGCGCACGTATTTAAATTTGGTATCACTGTGTTCGCAATGAAATTGTCTATAAGAGCATGCCGCCCAAGCATAAGGAGTATCAACACCAAATAAAAAACTATGCAGATCACTCGCCGAGAGCGCCAAACAGCAACAAAATGTTTCCACTCTCTTTATGGTTGCGAAACCTACAGTTGTCCTACATCGCTAATTTTGGTATCATTGGAATCGCAATAAAATTCTCTACACAGACATATGCATATGAATGTTTAATATAGGTAATTGGCCACCCACAAGAGTGTGTGAAGTGGAGAGTAGTTAGCCGCGAGCGCACTGGCGAAAACACAGGGGGGAAATCATGCTTGGAAAGTTTATACATTTATACGTTTCCTGACCCTACTTTTCTATGTACGTATTTCTTTTTTATACCAATGTGTTCGCAATAAAATTTTCTATAAGATGAACTGTATAACATTTGTACAAAGCATGTGTAAGAGAAGCGCCAAATATAGAACCACGTCGCTCAGTATGCGTTCGCGGCAGAAACGAACGCATTGTTTTCGTTCGTTTGATGTTTGTCATGTTTATACTTGTTGAAACATTTTATAATTTGTATGACAGTGATCGCAGTAAAATTCCCTACACAGACATATACATAACACATACAAATATTTCCCACGTGTTGGATATATCAACGGCTAAAGGGAACCCACTGCCACACGCTCGCCACACCCAGAGCCACACCCCCAAACATACTTTGTGTATTTTTTTTTTACTCATAGAAGTTTATGTGATATAATATCAACTTGTAGTTGAGACTTGTAGTTGAGACGTTGTTCTGAATCTATAATTCTTCTATTTCTTGGATGCACTGGAGGAATATTGTCTTCTACAGGAACCACCAAACTTGTAGTAGAATCTTCTATGAAATCAGAAACATCAAGTGGTTCTATGTCCTCAATGTCCATTTCAGAATTTGTGGTTGATGAGTGGGCTTGAGGTGTTGAGGTGAACAGAGGACGCCTCGCACCAGATGGGCCGGGTGTTGAAACTGCCGCGTCAGCAGGAGGAGCTGCGCTGGCATCTATGTCGGGAACATGTGGTATACTTGTTGTTGTTGGTTGTCGTTCTCCCTCCCGGTGAGGGAGAACGGGAATTTCATTGAGAAAAATCTGAGAGTATCCCCATCCATTTCGGTTAAAAAATGGAATTTATAGAAATATTTTTTCGATGGACTAGAAAAGTAGGCTGTTATGCGGAATCGTAAGAAAAAACGGTGACGAGTTATCTCTAATCTAAAGCGCGAAAGTGTTAATATTAAATATAAATAAGCCAATATTGACTGTAACCAAGTGTGAGAACGGGTTGTGTGATATATACATCAAGCTATGAGCAGCCGCATCCAACAGCCTAGTTGACCAGTCCAGCAACCAGGAGTCCTGGTCAGAGACTGGGCTGCGGGGACATTGATCCCCAAAATCAGGACAAGTTAACCGCAAGGCAAGGTAATATACTAAATTGGGTAGAGAAGCAGATAACTTGTAACTCCTCTTAGTTAAATGGAATGAATGGAGTAGTCTTCTTAGACTAATGGAATGAAGACCCCGATCACTAGAAAACGGCAGATTGGCAAAACTTGATTTTTGTAAAATACTGTACTTAAAATATATAAAATTCATTGGGAATTGATAGGGCAGACAGGGACCGATTATTTAGAATGGGAAACGAACCTGGG